AGTGAGTGAGTGTGTGAGTGTGTGAGTGAGTGAGTGAGTGAGTGAGTGAGTGAGTGAGTGAGTGAGTGAGTGAGTGAGTCTGTGAGTGAGTGAGTGAGTGAGTGAGTGAGTGAGTGTGAGTGAGTCTGTGAGTGAGTGAGTGAGTGAGTGAGTGTGTGTGTGAGTGTGTGTGTGAGTGTGTGTGTGAGTGAGTGAGTGAGTGAGTGAGTGAGTGAGTGAGAGTGAGTCTGTGAGTGAGTGAGTCTGTGAGTGAGTGAGTGAGTGAGTGAGTGAGTGAGTGAGTGAGTGAGTGAGTGAGTGAGTGAGTGAGTGAGTGTGTGTGTGTGTGTGTGTGTGTGTGTGTGTGTGTGTGTGTGTGTGAGAGTGAGTGAGTGAGTGAGTGAGTGAGTGAGTGAGTGAGTGAGTGAGTGAGTGTGAGTGAGTGAGTGTGAGTGTGTGAGTGTGTGAGTGAGTGAGTGAGTGAGTGAGTGAGTGAGTGAGTGAGTGTGTGTGAGTGAGTCTGTGAGTGAGTGAGTGAGTGTGAGTGAGTGTGTGTGAGTGAGTCTGTGATTGAGTGAGTGAGTGAGTGAGTGTGTGTGAGTGAGTCTGTGAGTGTGTGAGTGAGTGGGTGAGTGAGTGTGTGTGAGTGAGTCTGTGAGTGAGTGAGTGAGTGAGTGAGTGAGTGAGTGAGTGAGTGAGTGAGTGAGTGAGTGAGTGAGTGAGTGAGTGAGTGAGTGAGTGTGTGAGTGAGTGAGTGAGTGAGTGTGTGAGTGAGTGAGTGAGTGAGTGTGTGAGTCTGTGAGTCTGTGAGTGAGTGTGTGAGTGTGTGAGTGTGTGAGTGAGTGTGAGTCTGAGTGAGTGAGTGAGTGTGTGAGTGAGTGTGTGAGTGAGTGAGTGTGTGTGAGTGAGTGTGAGTGAGTGTGTGAGTGAGTGAGTGTGTGTGAGTGAGTGAGTGTGAGTGAGTGAGTGAGTGTGTGAGTGTGTGAGTGAGTGAGTGTGTGAGTCTGTGAGTCTGTGAGTGAGTGAGTGAGTGAGTGTGTGAGTGAGTGTGAGTCTGAGTGAGTGAGTGAGTGAGTGAGTGAGTGAGTGTGTGAGTGAGTGAGTGTGTGTGAGTGAGTGAGTGAGTGTGAGTGAGTGTGTGAGTGAGTGAGTGTGTGTGAGTGAGTGTGAGTGTGAGTGTAAGTGTGTGAGTGTGTGAGTGAGTGAGTGTGAGTGAGTGAGAGTGTAAGTGTGTGAGTGTGTGAGTGTAAGTGTGTGAGTGTGTAAGTGTGTGAGTGTGTGAGTGAGTGAGTGAGTGAGTGAGTGAGTGAGTGAGTGAGTGAGTGAGTGAGTGAGTGAGCGAGCGAGCGTGAGTGTGAGTGTAAGTGAGTGAGTGAGTGAGTGAGTGAGTGTGAGTGAGTGTGTGAGTGAGTGAGTGAGTGAGTGAGAGTGAGTGTGTGAGTGTGTGAGTGTGTGAGTGAGTGAGTGAGTGAGTGAGTGAGCGAGCGAGCGAGCGAGCGAGCGAGCGAGCGAGCGAGTGAGTGAGTGAGTGAGTAGCTCCGATTACCTCACGTTCTGTGTTTTGTGTTTAAACTAGAGTCAGGCAAAGATGGAGAGACTCAAGAAGTGACAACATGTAGAGCAACAGGACGTTTCTGAATGGTTAGTTGATGAACTTATGTTGCTGATGTGGAGTTAACTATTGTCTAGTCATTGATTAACATATTCTCCACCAAATAAAACCTTGCAAATGCATCACTCGTCTATAGAGGTTATGCAGTGACGACACTTTCCCGCCGGCCTGAGCGTCAGAAGAGCTGCTGAACGACTGGATTTAACAGGAGAAACTGAGAAAACACCAGTAAAACAAACGACTATCAGTTTAAACTAAAGCTTGGACTCGATATAATGTTCCTTACAACTTACCAAAGATCCAGTGATCATGAATATCGACATGCAGCAGGAATCGGGTTTCCTGATTTTTATATGAGCCTGATTTCGACGCCGGGGAAATACATAAAGCAAATTTCCCTATGAACGCTTTATATAAATACAATACAAGTCTAAATCCATGTGATCACTTTTATCAATGTTATACATATCATCCAGCTCTAAAACTTGTATAGTTTTTAGTCAGTGTTTATTTAAAAACATCCAATTATGCAGAATATACGATGCTAAATATTAAATTGATGAGTTGTCAATACAATATATAACAATACAATATATTAGGTATGATTTTACCCCTAAATTCAGTGTTTCTCTGTTCTGTATCTTTCGGCAGCTCTTTCCCGTTTTAGATGTGTTTTGTGTGTCACTCAGTGTGTGTGTGTGTGTGTAACGGCCGACGGTGATGTCACACGCATAACCTCCATTTAAACTAACTTGTGCAAACTATAACATTTAAACAAGTTTAATTTAAAGTGTCAGTTTAATCAGCATTGCATTAACCTGAACAATCGAGCGAATCAACAACAGATTTAATCTCCAACAAATGACTTGACAAACTCCTTATCAGCAGAATTATTTGCGCATCGCTTCCGGTTAATGGGATCGGCAGGAGGTCGACACACACTGACCTGGTGGCCTTGAGCCTGAAGCCTCTGCAGGACCCGTTTGAAGCCACCCAGGCTGGGTTGGCCCATGCCGTACAGTGGGAACCCGGCTCTGATCTGCCTGAAGTTCGGCGCGCCGTACGAGCCGGTGGTGCTGAGAACATCAGCTTTACTGGACACGTCCTGGACCATGAAGAACAAGCCCTGAGAACAAGATGATCAGACGTGGGTGTGATGATTTGTGGGGGGGACATGACTTTTTGAAACATTTCGAGGCACGGATGTACCCAATACAAATAAATAAAACATCTCCATTTAAAGGTGCAATATGTAACTTTTCTTCTAAAATGAATCCTTTTTTTTATTGCCTGTGTGTGAACGGGTTGTAATCACACATTACAATAATCCACTTGTCGGGTTTTGCTATTACCTCTGAAGGCCAATATTCTTATTTCTATGTGAAGTCTCCGGGTCGGATGTGACGTGCATGTAAAAATGGCAAATGCTGAAATAAGTTGAAGAACTAAAATAAACTAAAACTAAAACTATTAAAAGCTTTTTGTTCATTCAAATAAAATAAAAAGCTAAAAAAATATTAAACTGAAATGGGGGGGGGGGGGGGGGGTCAAACTAAACAGTGATATAAAACAGACAAAAGCACATAAAAATACTTAAAAAAATGAAATCTTAAAATGTTAATTAAAGCTGAAATGCTAAAAAATCTAAATATTAGATTTAAAAAAAAAGAAGACAATTTTAAAATAAAAAAATGACAATTTTAAAATGTGGCCTTGGTAAGTTGAAGTACTAAAATAAGTCAAAACTAAAACTATTAAAAACATTATGTTAGTTAAAATAAACCTGAAATAAAATAAAACAAACTTTAGATAAAAAAAAATAACTTAACAACGTAACTAACTGAAATAAGTTTTAGTTGAAGCACTAAAATAAATCAAAACTAAGCCCGAAGAAATACTTTTTTTACAGTATTGTAAAAAGTAATAAGCACCATAAAATAAATGAAAATAACTGAAAATGTTAAGATGTCAAAAATATTAATAAAATAATAAAAATAGTAACTATCAGAAATAATAACGAAATAAAGCTTTCATAACAAATACGTTTGACAAAGATTTTTATAGTTGGAAACTTTATAACATGACAAAAACGCAGCATTAAAGGGATAGTTCACCCAAACATGTAAACTCTGTCAGTAATGACTCTCCCTCATGTTGTTCAACCCCGTAAGACTTTCCTTCATCTTCAGAACACAAATTAAGATATTTTTGATTAAATCTGAGAGCTGGATCACTCCTCCATAGGCTTCTAAGGGATTGAAACTTGCCGGCCCAAAAGTTATGAAAGACATCGTTAAAATAGTCCGAGTGACTACAGCGGCTCAACCTTAAGTTTATCAAGCGACGAGAATACTTTCTGTGCGCAAAAAACAAACAAAAATAATTACTGACAGAGTTTACATGTTTGGGTGAACTAACCCTTTAACCCCAGCTTTAATAAATGGATCCGCTAAATGACTAATTACTGCTTTATGACTTTATTCGGCTCAGGAAGAGCCTCAGATAATGAGCCGGAAGCGGAACAAAGGCGAGCGCTTGAGAAGAAGTCGGACACTTGCTGTTTTCTGTTGACTTGCAGCGAAACCCATCATTGGCTCGTCAGCAAACAGAAACTAACGAGCAAACAAAGAGAGATGTCTCCTTCAAAGCCTTCAGAGGAAGGTGCAAACGTCTTCTGGAGACTAACGAGAGCAGTAATTAATTACTCTGTTTGCAGAGACGCGCCGCAACACATCCAGGATCTTCCTAAACCCCGGGATTCACTGGGACTTTGAAGGAAATGAACTGATGGATAAAGAGCTTTGTTAACCTACTTTATTACGTTTTTACATATAAAATAATGGCATTTTTTAATCATTAAAAATAAACAAAATTTTGAGTTTGATAACAAACACACCGCAAATCAAAGCTATACATCATAATTCAAAACATATTCATAATTAATCATTTCTGAACATTGACTCTCAGTTTTTATGATAGTCTTTACTATCAAGGTGCATTTTCAATACAGGCACTTTATAGTAGTTAAATTTAAATGACAAACAGCCAAATTTTCCAACCTGATTCTCTTCACTGTATATAAAAAATGTACAATTAAAATAAATATATTTTTTAATCATTTTAACCTTTAATTTTTCAATTTATTAATTTAATTAAAAAATAAATCAGTGATAGCAGTCTGTGTTATTTTAGTATCACTGCGGCACTATTATAGTTTTTATTAATAGTTTAAATTAATTTTTATTTTAGCATTTTCCATTTTCATTTTAATCTTTGATTACATTTTTATTTTGTTTTGTTGTGTGCTTTAGTAAAAAAAAAAAAAATCTGTTATTTTTTTAATATGCCTATATAGTTTTAGTTATGTTTCCTCTGCAACTAGGTGAAATAAATAATATACACACACACATATATATATATATATATATATATATATATATATATATATATATAAGTGATACATTTATATTTTATTAAATATACTAATTTTACTTTAAGAAACAATATTTTTATGGGTTTTTTAGGTATATAAAGTATAATGAACCTGGTAACAGTGATGAGAATGTGAAGGGGAAACGTGGTTAATCGTCATGAAAATATTCAACAAAATTACTTTAGTAAAAGAAAATCTAAAATGATGCAAAATATGTGCTTTTTTTGTTTTATTTCTGAGATAAGTGCGACCTGTTTCCCTGAGACCGACCCTCAGCGCGTCCGGCTCACCTGGACCAGATGGTGCTCCGGCATGCTGTCCGAGATCCTCCCAACTTTATAGTTTGTACGAAGAACATGATCATCGTGGATCTGAAACTCCTGCCTGCAGTTATACCTATAAACACACACACACACACACACACACACACACACACACACAGAGACTCAATCAGGGTAATTACGTCGGCTCTGCGGGGGCTCGTAATGGAGACGCGCTGCTGGACGTACGTGATGACCACAGGAGCCACTTTATTAGTGATGATGGATTTGCCCTTGTTGTTGTGGATGTTGAAGGAGGCGCTGCTCGCCGACCGCCTGCTGTCCGTCATCCCGTTGCCGTGGAAACTCTCATGCAGTGTGTGCTGGGGAGCAGCGCTGGCAGTCGTACCCATACTCCACTGGCAGCTGTCAATCACACACACACACACACGAACATGAACAGAGCAGTAGAAAGACTAGAGACTAAACAAGACAACCCTTATGAAAACTAAAGGTGCATTGTGGGATATTTAGGAGGATCTGCTGACAGAAATGCAATATCATAAACATAACAGTTTTCAGTGGTGTATAAAGAGCATACATAATTATAGTTATGTTTTTATTAGCTTAGAATGAGGCGTTATCTACACACACCGCGGTTCCCTTTACATCGACATGTTCTACGGTGGCCCCGAACGGACAAACGCGTTTCGTCACTATGTTGTTCTTCGTGCAAAGAAGCTGCTAAAGTCAGCGAATAAAACACTGACACAATGATAAACAAGTAACAATAATATTCACAATAACATCGTTTATTGAATAAATAAGTAAACCGAATTTCTTAATTTATCTTTGTAAAGAAGCCTCGTTGCTTAACTGGCTACTCTCAGGCGGTCTCAGACGACGACATCACTTCCTGTCGGCCACCGTAACTTCTGTTGGGTGCAATTCACAACCTCACCACTAGATGCCACTAGAAATTACACACTGCACCTTTAACCATGGTTTTATTATGATAAAAGTGTGGTAACCATCAGTTTTGGGCAGATTGATCACCATTTGTATATTAACCACAGTTTTACTACAAATACCACGGTTAAACTCAGATCAGTTCAACAATGGTTGGTTTGTGGTTACCACGGTTTAGGCAAGGCAAGTTTATTTGTGTAGCACATTTCATACACTATGACAATTCAAAGTGCGTTACAGAAAGGAATGAAAATAATCACAAAATAAAAGCAAGGAAAAATAAATAAAACAGTTATTTAAGAAATTAAAAGAGATATGATACAGTTATACATTTTTTTTATTTTTTTTTTAAAGAGTAAAAAGATGATACATAGATAAACTTCTCATCTGGCAAATCATTATATTAATAATAATTCATTACATTTATATAGCGCTTTTCTGGACACCCAAAGCGCTTCACATAGAAGGGGGAATCTCCTCAACCACCACCAATGTGCAGCATCCACCTGGATGATGCGACGGCAGCCATATTGCGCCAGAACGCTCACCACACGCCAGCTTACTGGTGGAGAGGAGACAGAGTGATGAAGCCAATTGGTATATATGGGGATGATTAGGAGGCCATGCTGGACAGAGGCAAAGGGGCAAATTTGGCCAGGATGCCGGGGTTACACCCCTACTCTTTCGAAAGACATCCTGGGATTTTTTGTGACCACAGAGAGTCAGGACCTCGGTTTAACGTCTCATCCGAAGGACGGTGCTCTTTGACAGTATAGTGTCCCCATTACTATACTGGGGCGTTAGGACCCACACAGACCACAGGGTGAGCGCCCCCTGCTGGACTCACTAACACCTCTTCCAGCAGCAACCTGGTTTTCTCAGGAGGTCTCCCATCCAGGTACTAACCAGGCTCAGCCCTGCTTAGCTTCAGTGGGCAACCAGTCTTGGGCTACAGGGTGATATGGCTGCTGGCTTCAGTTGGGTTCAGCTGGGTGATATTATTATTATTTTTTACAACTCCCAGTTTTACTCTGAGATTTTCCCATGGTGATTACACTGGTTTAACTGTAGTAACTAACCATGTTTTTTGGGTTATATTTGTTTATATTTGGTATACCATATAAATGCCACGGCAGCGGAAAGCTTCGTCCCTCTCTCGCCCGGAGGATTCTTGTTCACCGCGAGAGAAAAGCCTTCGTGTCCTGATTGAATTAGGAGTTTAATCTCAATAATAAGGCTATCTGAGAACATCTGCGGCCGCTCGTGTGAATCAGCCCTGACGGTTCATTCCTCATTCCCTTCACACACACTACATGTTTATTAAACACACACACATTCTCTCTCTCTCTCTCTCTCTCTCACACTCACACACACACTCTCTCTCTCTCTCTCTCTCTCACACACACACACACACACACACAGTTACGTTGTAAAGATCATCAATTATAAAATTAATCTCATCTATAAAGCAGTTCTGCAAAAAATGATGTGATCGTCCAGCTCAGTTCAGTTCTTAAACAACAGCGTCAGTCCAGTCAGATCACCAATATCACTGAATATTCCTGACACACACCTGTCCGTCTCGTGTCCATCCGACACGCACCTGTCCGTCTCGTGTCCATCCGACACGCACCTGTCCGTCCCGTCCACCCGACACGCACCTGTCCGTCCCGTCCACCCGACACGCACCTGTCCGTCCCGTGTCCATCCGACACGCACCTGTCCGTCCCGTGTCCATCCGACACGCACCTGTCCGTCTCGTGTCCATCCGACACGCACCTGTCCGTCCCGTCCACCCGACACGCACCTGTCCGTCTCGTGTCCATCCGACACGCACCTGTCCGTCCCGTGTCCATCCGACACGCACCTGTCCGTCTCGTGTCCATCCGACACGCACCTGTCCGTCCCGTCCACCCGACACGCACCTGTCCGTCCCGTGTCCACCCGACCCGCACCTGTCCGTCCAGTGTCCATCCGACACGCACCTGTCCGTCCCGTGTCCACCCGACCCGCACCTGTCCGTCCCGTGTCCACCCGACCCGCACCTGTCCGTCCTGTGTCCATCCGACACGCACCTGTCCGTCCCGTGTCCATCCGACACGCACCTGTCCGTCTCGTGTCCATCCGACACGCACCTGTCCGTCCCGTCCACCCGACACGCACCTGTCCGTCCCGTGTCCACCCGACCCGCACCTGTCCGTCCCGTGTCCACCCGACCCGCACCTGTCCGTCCTGTGTCCATCCGACACGCACCTGTCCGTCCCGTGTCCATCCGACACGCACCTGTCCGTCTCGTGTCCATCCGACACGCACCTGTCCGTCCCGTCCACCCGACACGCACCTGTCCGTCCCGTGTCCACCCGACCCGCACCTGTCCGTCCCGTGTCCACCCGACCCGCACCTGTCCGTCCCGTGTCCACCCGACCCGCACCTGTCCGTCCCGTGTCCACCCGACCCGCACCTGTCCGTCCCGTGTCCACCCGACACGCACCTGTCCGTCCTGTGTCCACCCGACACACACCTGTCCGTCCCGTGTCCACCCGACCCGCACCTGTCCGTCCCGTGTCCACCCGACACGCACCTGTCCGTCTTGTGTCCACCCGACCCGCACCTGTCCGTCCCGTGTCCACCCGACACGCACCTGTCCGTCCCGTGTCCACCCGACCCGCACCTGTCCGTCCTGTGTCCACCCGACACGCACCTGTCCGTCCCGTGTCCACCCGACCCGCACCTGTCCGTCCCGTGTCCACCCGACACGCACCTGTCCGTCCGTGTCCACCCGACAAGCACCTGTCCGTCCCGTGTCCATCCGACACGCACCTGTCCGTCCCGTGTCCATCCGACACGCACCTGTCCGTCCGTGTCCACCCGACAAGCACCTGTCCGTCCCGTGTCCACCCGACCCGCACCTGTCCGTCCTGTGTCCACCCGAAACGCACCTGTCCGTCTTGTGTCCACCCGACCCGCACCTGTCCGTCCGTGTCCACCTGTAACAGGTCTCAGGAGCCTCAAGCGTCTGACGGATGCAGGAGATCCATGAAAACCTCTGCTTTACATCCAAAGCTCACACGCAACTCATCTTAGTATACCTGGTCTAGATGAATGCAGTGAATAATCTCAGTCTGCACTGGTTTGTTTTTCAAGCTCACCGGATGAAGCTCTTATGCAAGTGGGACAAATTTAAGGTGACATTCTCAGAGCATCTGCAGAAACCTGCCCTAGATGAGCTGAAAACCCACGCCAGACGATCATCACACACACACACTCTCTGAACAACAAACCATCGCGACCCCGTCTGCCTGTGTAACGGGCCACCGCACGCACGCTTCTGCTCAGCATTCACACGCTTTACTCCAGCTCTGTTCCAGAAAGCAGGGGTGAAACGTCGGTGTTTTTGATTATTTTAGCAAGTCTTCTCAGTATCTGGGTCAAACCTGCAAACATGCAAGTATCTACTTTCTAGGGCTTAAAAACTAGTCAAAATAGCATGGGTTCATCATTTGAGTGTGAGAAAAAAAAATCTGTAAAAATAAATAAATAAAAAATTTAAATAAATAAAACAATATAATATAAATTGATAATAAAATATATAAATAATTAAAAGATGAGAAGAAAAAAAGTTCATGAAGAGAAGAAAATTATATAAATACATAAAATAAAATTAAAATACAGGAAAAATGTAATTTAACTAAATAGAATAAAAAAACTATATTAAATAAAGATAAATGAGAAGAAAAGAGTTTAACGAAGTGAGAAAACAAATACATAAACAAATATAAATAAGTAAAATAAAAAATATAAATATAATAAATTAAGATAATCAAATATAAATATAATATAAAAAATAGATATAAAAGACAAACAGATGTTAAGAAAAAAAGTGTAATATATATTAAACTTATATTATAGTATAGTTTAAATATTAGAATTTTAATATGTGTAGTATAAAATATATAAATAATGTATATATAATATAATAAAATAAAATAAATAAATAATAATCCCAATTCATACAAAATGTATACTAATGGCATCCTAAATAGACTAAAATAGTTTGGATTTTTAAAGTTGAGTATTTCAGTATCAACCACATAATGAAGACATTCCTACATCATAACTAAGATCTCCGCACTGGATCTCACTGGAGTAGCAAACGCCGGTTCTCAAAGTGACAGAATTCCCTCAGGAAATCCAATTACTGCGGCCCATTCACAGGGAAAATAAAACCCCCCCGTGTCCAGGCACTGAAAACAGAGACGGAAGAGCGCAGGACACACACACACACACACAGATGGGCTTTCCCAAGTTTCCCGCCTCAACATCTATTGAAATTCCACTGGTGGAGTTGTATGTGCGGAGCGCGCGGCACAAAAGGCTCTGCGTGCGACGGGAAGCGCTTGCAGCTGCAGGAAGCATCTGCGCTCGGCCAACCAGAGGAAGGATGAGGAACGCTCGCA